TCAAGCTTATATTCTCAGCTCACTGGCATATCTGGATGCCATAATGTTCAACTGTGGCATCCCAAAGAGGAAGAGAACTAATGAGCAGTGCCCTACTAATTCAGATGGAAACCACAGAGGGAAAAATGAAGCATTGCTGGTAGCTAATTAACAAAGCCAGGCAGCCAGCCATGTTTGTAATTGTCTATGGGTTCAGGCAGAGAGCTCATAAACCCATCCAAGCTTACGAGCTCAAGCCAAATGAACGCTGCTTCTTTGAAGGGTGGGAAGGAAGAAAATTGAGTGAATGAGAAAGGGCATGTGGGATGTTCCCATGGGAAGACCAGTGGAGTCTGCTGTTTGCAATGGGGAAAATGGCATTTAGTGGGGGAGAGTGAAGGTACAAGGCCAGAGCTGGTACCTGGGACAGCCTGGGACAGGCTCCTGCATTTGCTGTCATGCCCATGTTGTCCCAAACCTCACTTGGTTTGCTGAATGGTCCATGTGCGAGCCATTAAATCTTTCAAAATGAACCCACCCTAGAATCCCTGCCTTGACAACCCATTATGATCCTCTTGCATTTCTTCAAGTTACCTGCTCCATTAGAATGAAAAGTTGGGTTGAAACTATTTCATTTCTTGCTTCACAGAGGTTGTTTTTTTTTCAATTTAATTACTTCTCTAGCAATGCTTATTATTTTTTTTCACTTAATGGCATTTTTGCTTTAAAGCCCTCATTTTAGTCAGTATAACCTAATGCCATTTCTCTCCAAAACTGCTTGTTTTTTGGTCTTTGCAAGGAAAGTGTGGGCTGGTTCTTCTTAGACTGACCCTGTTCCTGGCTGGGGGCTGGCTGAGGACAGCTTTCTTCCTTGACCTGAGAAAATGCTGACTCCCTGTGGTGCTCATTCCTCTCGGGACTTCTTATCTGCTTTCCACTGGCAAATGAAGAGCAAATGGCAGGAATGGAAAAGACAACAGAAAAACTCAAGATCTCAGTTGCCAAATCCTTAATCACGTTGCCTTGCTGAGCCTAATGTTTGCTTATTTTTATTCTGCTCTCTAAAGCTCCCAGCTGGAGGCTCAGAATAGAGCTTAGGGCACTTGCTAAGGTCTGCCTCCTCTTCCCAATTCATCTTTCCATCCTCTCCCCATTCAGCATTAGAGGTTACAGTCTGAAAGCAAACCCAGCAGCCCTTTGGAAACTAGGAAGAGACAGATATAAAACCAGTATGGTGAGCCCCTCAATAAGCCATAAGCTAAATAAATTCTTTATTCTAATACCTAATTCATTATTTTTTTTTTTTTCTTTTTGCTTAGAGACATTCATGAAAAGTCTCAGATTAAATGATGCTACATTCTGCCTCCTCACTGGAAGAAATGCTTTAATCAAGATGTCCATTTCCATGACTGAGAGCAAAGTAGAGTAAAAAGCAAATACAGATAGAACAAGGCCCCAGGAAAGCACAAAAGTAAATGGTGCTCCAGTATTCCTGTAGAATAGCAAGGTTCCCTCCAGGCTGGTTTGTTGTTTTTTTCCTTCCTTCACTTTAAATCTACCTTTTAGGTCATTTTAAATCAAGAAACAACTCTCTGAGCTGATGTGGAACCTTGCTGGAAAGGAATCCTTAGAGTGCCTTTGCAACAGCTGTTGTCAATGTCCTGAACTGCAGTTTGTGCTGAGCACTTCCAGTAACTCGAAGTGACATGTAATTTCCAGTGAGTATTTGGAACCTGCCTGCAGGAGATCCTGAGCACCTGCTCCCCACCACCTTGTTTGGGAGCACTCAAAGTGAAGCTTAGTCCTTTACCCAAAAAAACCAAACCCAGAGCAAAGCATGAACAAGACAAATCCTCTGCTCCACATTCTGCTCTGAAACAACACAGGAAAAGAGCGCAGAAAGTCAGGAGCCCAGATTCTGCTGTGACAGTTCCTGATTGACTTTTGTTCCCTGTAAATTCCCATTTGAATGTGCAGAAAATAGGGAATTGAGGAGGTTTTTTTGTCTGTACTTGGCTCCCTCTTCATCAGAGCAATGCTGCCATCACATGAGCCACAGCACACATGAGGAAACGTGGCCATCACAGGAGTCTGGCATGCCATGCTAAAAGTGTGTCCTGAGACACAGTCCCTCTGACATGTTAGGGCCATGCCATTGAGAAACAGAGACGCTCCAGACGTTTTCTGTCCGTGCACTAAGGCAGGTGCCAAAAGACAGATGAGAAAAGCAAGACTAACACAATAAGCATAAATTTCCTAGTTACCAAACATCTGTGGGAAATCTGTAGGACTCAAGAAACCAGTGTGAACTGAAGACAGCTGAGGTCTGGCTCTCAGCTCCTCCTTGGAGCTGCTGATCACAGCCAGCACCCTCAGAGCTGCCAGGAGCAAGAAGCACATGCACTCATGATGATGTTGAGAGTGCTGTGGGGGAAAACCAGATCTGGGCACATTCTCACTCAAAAGCCACCAGCCATGCCTGCAAATTTATCCTGAATCTTGTGCTCATGGAAGTTAATTGTCACTGAGGAAATCAGCACTGGAATGTGAGCAGTAAGCACACGTCAGAGGGTGTGCTGAAAGAGAGAGGGGCTGCTGCCATGGCAGGAGCTGAAATCACTGCTGCAGGACTACCAGTACCAGAGCTGGCAATAAGGTTCTTGTCAGAAGATGATGATGATGATGAAGGTGTTGTAAGGGACAGGAGCAAACAGCATCCCAGCTCTCAGTGGAAACAAAAGCTGGAGCTATGGAATAATTTTTAATCTTTATTGCCTCTGCACAGTGGGTTTGCAGTTCTTCTTGAAGAGGCATTTTTTGAAAGAAGTGCCAGAAACAGTAAGTTCAAACCTCATGTCTCTGTGATCCAGTAGACTTTTGCTTTCACTGTGGTGATTCTGATAATTATGTAATTTACAAGGAAATTGGGATATGAGAAATTTTTTCACTTGTTTCTAGAGACAGGCTGTAAACAATTTATCTGCAACACAGCAACAGCAGCCACAAA